CATGGGCCATCAGCAGCTCTACTGGAGTCACCCCAGGAAATTCGGCCAGGGCTCTCGCTCCTGGTCAGTGTGCGCTCCGCGGTCACTCCGGGTGGTTGTCGGGCTGCCTGGGCTGCGGTATCTGAGTCACTCCATCCTTACCCGCTCCTCTGCCCCGCGCCGCCATTACCCGCCCTGACGGGCCTCGCTCTCTTCTCCCCTCACAGCCGCGTGTGCTCCAACCGCCACGGCCTCATCCGCAAGTACGGCCTGAACATGTGCCGGCAGTGCTTCCGCCAGTACGCCAAGGATATCGGCTTCATTAAGGTGACGGCCGGCCCCGGGGCTCTGCGGGCGGGGCGGGGGTGCCGGTTCCCGCTGACCCTTCGCCTTTCTCACTCTCTTGCAGCTGGACTGAGCGCCGGGAGGATGAGGCTGTCGCCAGAAGCCTCCGGGGTTTCCCTGGGCCTCACCAGCACATCTACAGCATCTCGGCACAGCCCTTTTCAATAAATAGGCTCCTTACCCGACCGACGTATGTGTATTGTCTTTCTGTAAAGGTTCTAGTGGCTACGGGGCTTCTCCTCTCTCACAGTGGCCGTTCTGGATGGGTGCTGCACTGGGGGCAGGCCTAAGTGAGCCTTCCCCGGTGTCCTCAGCTTTTCTCCCCAAAACCAGGTGGTCTCGAGTGCTGGTGTGATGCCATCAGCCTTCAGGTTTCTGAGCAGAGCAGTAGACTGTTCCGCTCCAAAGACTGGTAGGTGAATGGCCCGGCAGTCTGTTTTGGGGTAGATCCTGGCACGCTCCGCTCTTGCTGACGTAGCAGTTGGTGATGTCTGTGGTGCAGGGCTGTATCTCTAACTTTGCCCAAGCCTTCCTCGCTTACTAGGAGGTGCAGAGCATGAGGGTGTGGGGAAGGGTGGGATGGATAACCACAGTGGGACAAGGTAACAGCATCCTGAGCCTCTGGGCAGGGCAGATGTTGTCTGGGCTCTCTGTGTCACGTGCTGTGTGTGCCCTTCCTTAGAATGAACTGATTTAATAGGGTTGGAGCCGCGTGCCCCTTCCGCTTCTGGCATTTTCCAAGATCTCCAGCCGCTCAAACACTGTGTGATGGGACCGAAGAGTTGGGCGAAGGAATGCTTGTCAAGTATGCCAGGGGCCTGGAGTTAGACTTTCCAGTTCCCTCTCAGGGGACTAGCGGCGTTGGGGTGCTGTCCTGCTGCGAGCTTACTGACTAGAGGAATGTTTTGATGGTGCCCAAAAATGGGGTGTGGGTTGATCCAGCTGACTGCATCTAGATTGGGAATCCCCCTGGCTTTTTGGTTATTTTATGAAACGTATTATATGACTATTATTTATGAAATTGTATTATTACATGAAACTGAATGAGACTAGTGTTGAGGAGGGAGCAGGAGCAAAGCCAGGGGCTGGCCTGGTGGCTGGAGTGGTTCTGTGTGTTGGCAAAGCCTCCTGAGGTGAAGAGGGCACTGTCCCCACCTTCGTGTCACAGCGCCTGTCCCGCCCTGTGGGCATGAGCTTGGCGCTGAGCTGTCAGGTGTCCCTGCCTGCTTCTGCCATCGCAACCTTTGCCCTTCAGGGAGCTTTAATGTCAAAATTCCTGCCAGGAAACTCTGGGGGCCGTACAGCAGCTGAGCAGGAATTTGAGGTGTGTTTGGAGTAGGTGCTGTGAGGATAATGTTGTGGGTCGGCATGGGACTCGGGGAGCTGCTTTTTCCCCAGCGGGCTGGGTAAACTTGTGCTGAGCTGCTGTGCTCAGTCGGTTGGAGACTGGGTTACAAATTGCCTGAAACTGGTTTAATGGAACTTGGAAAGCTGCTTCCTGAGTAACACAAAACCTGTGCAGAGATGAGTTAAAGCAGCTAGCTGGGATATTACCTGCATCCAGGGGAAAATGTAATTTTCCTCATTGCAGCTTTCCAGTATCTGAAGGGAGCCTACAAGGGTGCTGGGAGAGGACTTTTTACAAGAGCCTGTAGTGATAGGACAAGGGGTACTGGGTATAAATTGAAATCAGGGAGGTTTAGATTAGATATCAGGAAGAAATTCTTCACAGAGAGAGTGGTGAGGCACTGGGACAGGTTGCCCAGAGAAGCTGTGGATGCCCCATCCCTGGATGTCTTCAAGGCCAGGCTGGATGTGGCTTTGAGCAACCTGGTCTAGTGGAAGGTGTCCCTGCCCATGGCAGGGGGGTTGGAACTGGATGATCTTTAAAGGTCCCTTCCAATCCTAACCTTTCTATGATTCTATGATTCTCAGGTGAGGCGTCAGTGACTGAAGCAAAACACCCGAACGCTGAGCATTAGGCCTTAAATATTGTGCTGAGT